TGACCTCTTGCAAAAGGAGTTGCTGGTTGACAAGAAGATTTGAACAAAGGGTTCGAAATTGTAAAGTTTAAGTCACCTAGCGGTTTTTTAATAAAAGAGAAGATATGGCATCATTGCCATTTGTACCGTTATTGTATATACGTGTACAATTTATAAAATGATTGATGAAGACAACCTGTAGTGGCCAGAACCCAGTTCCTTTTTCAACAATTGTAAAACTTACCAAATTTGACTAATCACTAAAGTTTACATAATATGTATTCGTATGATAAAGGAAAATTTTTTAAATGTTTGGGGTTTTATCATGGACTTTTATTGTAACATTAATGTATGTTCATGGAATAACGTTTACACGTATCATCATAATGTTTATTTTTATTTGTCATCAGTTGATTGGTATTGTTAGTAAATTATAATTGTTCTAAACGGAAACATTGGAAAATGAGCGAAAATAAAAAACAAAAACCGCTCATCTCCCATGCTTTTTTATTATTACTTCATTTATTTATTCGGTATTTTAATTTATAGTGATTGGCAGTGAGGTTTTGTCCATCTTTGAAGTCCAAACAGTCATTTATAGTGTTAATTTCTGTTTCATCTGGTCTCTTGTTGAAAGTTGTCTCATTCGCAATCATGCAACAATTCCTACTTCTTTTTATTTAGCAATTTGTCGTCTATGCTATTGGATATGAATCTGCAACTAAACTTAAAAAGGGGCATGGTTTCTATTTAATGAATGATGCATATCAATCTGTATACATAACTTACAATGTAAATAGAAATGTTTCAGAAATATCTGTAGGTATACGAAATCGGAAAAAAGAAAAATCGATACAACTTAGTGGTATCTATAACGTGAAAAATAATTGCACTTACTTCAATACATGTCAAAGAAAATATATTTTGAATATCTGATTTACTTTATTAATGATATATTTGTGTGTAACTTTATCACTTTCGACAGATTTATTTGAAGGGTATCAAAATAACATTAACAGGATTAATCAGCTATTGACAAAACTACTATAAAAATGGCAACGCTATACATGTAGTCGTTTTATCATATAAAAAACTTATTTAACAAGTAAAACTGGCTAGAACGGAGTAATAATTTTAAGAAAATGCCTGTATCAAGTCAGGAATATGACAGTTGTTATCTATTCGTTTGATTTGTTTGAGCTTTTGATTTGCCATTTGATTAGTAACTTGCCATTATAAATTTTCTTCGGAGTTCAGTAATTGTGTGATTTCAATTTTTTTCCAAACAAATTTTGTTTACAAATGTTCAATGTCAAAATCTACCTTCGTCTGTAAAGTGTTCTGACGATTCACTATTTTGAGGTAATGCCATTAATGGCAATTTTAACTTATTTGTGTAATTTTGCTTATGTTTTGAAAAATTATACATGCGAAAGTGATTTCAAAGTATATTAATAACAGCAAAACTAGATATTTAAAGTGGTAAGCGCTTATTTTTTTTTTTTATTTAACATCATTAATTATCACCTTTATATAGTTCATTCAGAAAAGCTCATCAACGATTTCACAATAAAAGTAGTTTTCACCAAATACAGTTTAATATTTGTCTGAGACTAAATGTAGAAACTGATTATTGTTTTATTCCGACTCTTTAATGAAACACTTACCATTGATTTAATTAAATGAAGTAGCTCTTGGAAAGCCTAATAATAATTGCTTAATTCATACTTTTATATTTTGTTTCTTGTCTATTGGTGCAATGTCTTTCGTGAATATAATAGAGTAAATTTTTGTTTTATAATAAACGAACAGTAGTCTTCCTATTTCATCAGTCATTTCTGTGATACAACTGAACAGAATGACGTTAACCTTGCAATTGAACCTTGACAGTGTTGAGTGCAAATTAAAGAGCTCTTTTTCGACACATCTTTCCTTGTTTTCTAATCATTTGAAGTACAAATTTAATTTTTTTAGGCAAAGTAACGTCGAACCGTTAGCACATTATTTTTCCTTTCAAATGTTAAATGTTGGTAATAACATGCAAGCAGAAAACCCTAACTCTTATCTCCTTTTTTCATTTAATCAGTTCCAAAGAATGTTTTACTTAAATATTAAATTCATTCAACATGAACAAAAAATGAAAGTATCGGCACAAACGTATCAGATGTCTTTCACATGCTTACACATTACAGTCTATCATCTATCAGGCATTTGTGCTGTAAAATTCACGCATAAATATTTAATTATGTAAATTCAGAAATTACTGCCATGTTTTAATCATTTCAAAAGTGCAACAGGGTTATAAACGGAATAATTTTTACTCGCATTTTAATTTTTTTTTTTAACAGAATTTTTCTCAATACCGCAAAAATTAAAATCACATTTTAGTATAAAATAACAAAATCGCTATAATAGATGCACGCAATAATTTCTGAATTTTTAGTTCTTCTGCTTGTTTATTTCTAGCAAAGTTGCGCGTTTATTTTGTCGGAGCCTGTGACGTTACAAAAGAAGGAACATGGGAATGGAATACGAGCAGGGAAAGATTTGACTCTACTGACTGGGGCACTAATCAACCCGGAGGCCATCATGCAGAAAATTGTTTAGCTCTTGAAGAGGACGACAAAATTCTATGGAATGAGTATCCTTGTCATGAACAACATGAGTTCATTTTTACAACAGAGAAAACTTAACACTTGTTGAGTTAAAATATATTAGTTAATAAATAATATCTGAATCAAAAATATTTCTAAGAAACATCTTCATTATGATCTGGTTATTCGAATTACCGGGAAAAGCACATCAATATGGGAATATTGAATTTTTTTAATAAATGGACCTTTTAAAGGGATTTAACTAGGGAAATAAGAAATTTGATTTCTTTTCGTTCAAAAATCTTTTTTGTATTTACAAAGCAAAAAAAACGAAAGAGAAAAATAAAAGCAACAATATAGGTTTAAATAAGTAGAGACAACGGACTTAACAAGAGAACTTTGAATGTTAAATGTTGACATTAGTTTGTTGCCTGTTTATCTATGTTATTATACCTGACATATATTTCAAACAATTCTATTGGGTAAAACGTTATCACGTGATATGGAATAATTCAGTTAATTTTCATTCAATTGCAAGGAAGGACAAATAACCTTAAAACTTTACACCAGCGGTGAATAACCCTATTATTCACCGGCGTATAACCCTTTGAGTTTTTTTATTTGTAAACGAGTTATCTCCCATGAAAATGACGTCGCAGACGTAAATAAACAAAATGGCAACGCTTATGTTGCAGGGAGCCCATCAAGTGACGAAGAAACAAGACCAAACAAGCGTCGGGGATTCATCTAGTGTCGACGATATCTCTTGTAAACGGCCCTTTTCAGGATCATCTCTATATTACAGAAAGTGTCTACCTTTGTTGTACATACGCGAAATGTCAATAGACACAAAATAGTTTTCTAACGAAAGAGTTTTGACAATCTGTTACAATATTTTACTTCTAAAACCCTCGTGGAATAACTCTTACTCGGGTTGACAATTTTGGATAATCAACTCCTCAGCGCGCCATAATTGTATATTGTTGTTCTTGTTTGACACGTTCGTCTAATGCGATCGACATATAGAAAATTCTCTAAAGTGGTGCTCGAACCCGTTTGGAATTTGTTATAGTTTAATCAAGTCCGAATAGTAGTTATAGTGTCATTTATCAATAAATCATAACCCTTATTTTCGAAATTAAAAATGAAAACAAACATAGGAAAGACTGTGTCAACACAAAATCCAAAAAGACTGGCATAAATGCAAAGTCCATGGAATTGTAACCAAACCATCAAATTGGAAAGTATTCAAGTTCAATTATTAGTCAAATAAGAGTTGATGAGACTAAAGTGGTGCTAAAACGCATCTTCATTTTCCGATCAAGTGTGAGCATTGTTCTTTGTCAAATTCCTTATTGTGAACTTGACCTGAAAGTATATTTTTAATTACTATCAACTATATCAGTATGTGCATTATTTACTCTCAACTACCAATTACAACTTTTTTTGTTGGCATCTTTGTAATTTTTATATTTTAATGTTTTAGTCAGATAAATTGTACGTCTATGATGTATGTATTAACAGTTTCGGCTGCTGTATCTTAATAATTGGAAAAAATACCAAACTCCAAGGCAAATTAATGAACAGAAAGTCCATAAAAACTGACAAAATCAAACGTTAGACTTTATCAACCAACGGAACATTTATACAGCGACTGTTATATTAATTTAATGACTTGGTACAGAAATCTTCCGAGTATTTTGGGGGGTTAAATCTGGTTGTTTAGCTAGCTTAACCATATTACACATACGCCAGTTGTTAATAGAAACGAAAAGCAGCACTTAAAACGGACACATATTTACTACACAGAACCTACAGATTTAAGAGCAACATTATCAAAAAACAAATCAGGTCGGAACTCAAATGCTTCAAAATTGTAAAAAGTTTGGTATACAAGTAGTATCGGTTCTCAATTCTCATTCGATAATGGCAACACACAATAAATGCTTGAAAATTTAATGGAAACGGTTACTTGATAATTCTGCAACGTATCCCGCAGATTTTAATTACAGTTATCCGTTAACATGTACAGTGGAAGAAAAGGACAAGGCAACGACATTAATAAAACAAACAGTATTTGTTTTTATTTTCTTACAAATTCCGTGTACCTCAATAATACTAAATGCATGTTGTGATACAATTTTGAAATAGACACTTATCTTAACATATGAATTCATGACATGCTGACAAAGTCCTGGAATATACCCCATGACATATATTATCTTTATCGTATTTGAGTTTGCTTTCTAAGTGTTGTTATTCAAGCGCCAGTGAAAAGTCTATTACAAAAGAAACACGGGTTTGGCCTAGAACTTCTAATGTTTGGTTTTTGTCATTCTGCCACGCGCACGTATTTATGTGCTGGTCAACAGTTTACAATCACGACAGTTGTTATCTTTTGGCAACGTGTTTTATGTATTTGTTACATGTCTTTTTTTTTGCCGTAATTTTAAAACAAAATTAAATATATATCTTTTTCAGCTTTAATTGTTTTGTACAAAAGGACTATCATGGGGGTACATGAACAAAATTAAAATATCTTGTATAGAAAAACGATATAGGCAAGTCAGTATAATTACATTTGAAAGTGCATTTTTCAAGTATCAGCAGTAAAGTTGTTAATGACTATATCATGTATATTTTAAAATGCATCACAAGGAAACTACGCAAATATATTATAAGCAAAATATAACAAAATCACAAAGAAATCACAAAATTTAGCACATATGCAAATAGAATGTAATGTATTACTTGTTTTCTTGAATGACAATTTTACAAGGCATTCTACTTTGTTCGCTATAAAGCTCATTGTTTTCGTCATATGGGGTTGATTGCATTCATTATTTCTGTTTATTCAAAATTCAGTCATATGACGTATGTAGGTTACATCAATGTCTCATTTATCACCTTTAATTATTTCAATGAAATCATAAATTTCAAATGTATAAGACCTCTTTAAAAGGTCATGGATTTTATCATTATAATACAGCATGCATATTTGCACATATGTAATTTTACTCTTACACATTTGTAGTACATATTGATAGCACTTGGATACATCGTCAATTACAAAATCTTATCCAATATATTACATATAAACAGACAGTTATTATACAAAACAGCGGTGTAGGTTTTAAAGAATATTCGTGCATAACTTGTATTTTGGTTACTCCAGTTTCTGAAAAATAAATAGTGATTAAAAAGAAACAAAATGACTACAAAATAAAATGAATAATCAAAAGAGGTTAAAAGTACCCAATTAACATAAAGAATAAAATATATTTGAATAATAATGGTAGTCAGCGATTATACCACACTCTTCTTCTTGTGTTTTTTATGTTGTTCTGAATTTGCTTAAAATAATTTCAACTTGATCATGTTGATGTTAAGGAAACAACAATCAACTAATCCGTGAATTGATCAAATGAAATAACTTGTTTGTTCAGCCAATTTTGTCTTTCGGGATCGTGTTATTTTTTATTGAATCTTCTATTGCAACTTCAGACCTCCTAATTACCTAACTAGCTTTTATCATTTTTGGTATATTCAGATATAATCCACATTTAAACATTATTAAATTTTAGAAAAATTGTTTTGTCAAATATTGATATAACTAAATTTTCAAAATTTGCAAAATAATGAATTGTCAAATATTTCAAAGTTCTTTTATTTGTATAATGTTTTGTCCAATATTTTATTATTACTTACCCATATAAGCTGTTTCAATATCCATGAATCAATCAATATTGTTCAAGTCTGTAAATTCAAGTAAAAAATACAAGCTACATAAAAGTAATATATTTATCATTTAAACTATGAAATTTTGTCTTATTTCATAACTTAGAAATTCATATTCATCTTTTTTTAATAAATAAAACATAACCCGACATCGTTGGTCAGCGACAGAATTAAAGTACTTATGCTTATTCTTATCCCCGATGTTTAGTATTCGTCTCGTCATCTGATAAAGTCATGCTGATTATGAGGTGCAGCACAGTTTTTTCTGCTTCAGATACTTTCTGTTTGAAACCGACCTCGTTATCTCACTACGACCGACAACTGCATGTGGCATTGATTGCATTTATTAGTGTCAATCCCTGTATAATGACTAAGTTCATGTCCGATTAAGACCCGTGTGTATATAGGACATCCATTATCCACAACTTTGGTTGGGAGGCGGAACGTAACAGGCAACATAATTCAAACAAAAACAAAAATGCCTTGAATGGTGTAATATTTAATCGTGATCTTTGTCCTTTGTTATCTTTATATAAAGTTTAATTCTATAATTCGTCGCTTTTACGTCATACCGGTTAACAAATTGAACCTTGTTATATAAGAAGTATAGATACTTGCAGATAAAGAAATACAATTTGTTTATTTGTTACGATACCCGATTACATGTTATTAGATGCAGTTTTTTTCTCTCGAGGTTCGTGCAATGCAATGGTTTAATATTTTCTAATTTTATAGTCAATTAACATACTCATCATATCTGAAATGGTGAATAGTAAGAAAAAATACAGAACCACTTACATTTTGTCAAGTTTATATGTGGCTTCCCAATTAACACGGTTCCTCTGACCACTGAAAGCTAGTCCTGTTGAGCAGTAACTGGCAAAATGATCACAATTAAATTCTCTTAGGTTATACTTTACACCGGATTTGACAAAAAGAGAAACCAGCGCTTCGGCTCTATTCTTAATATTTACATCCTTATCAGATAAGTGGTTGTAATCAAAGTAGAACAGATCTTTTGATGTAAACTTAATGCTAGTGGTCTCAATTACTGGTTCAATATTTTTTCCTATAAGTGAGGGTATTGTTTTGTGACCCCCGGTCAACGCAACCATTTCAAATGTCTTGTTTATCTTGGAAATCGTTATGACAATACCATGATGTATGTACGTATACTTGTTTTTGTAAATTGGTATTTTTCCAACTCCTACTTCCAGTCCAATCTTCAAATGTTTCTCAACATCAAGGTTGAATTTTCTTTTGTAATTCTGGTGATATGAAAAAAAAAGTAATGACATTATACAGTTACCACTTTTACTATTTTGATATTTTGTAGCAACCAAGCTTTTGAAATTACATTTGACATGTTTCCCCCTGGTAATTACAGACTGTATGATTGTCTATTTATATCATGTGGTTGTTTTTATCGGACGTTGGCAGTGGCATTCCTCGTTATCTCAAAGAGAGACGAAAGATACCAGAGGGAGAGTCAAATTCATAGATTGAAAACAAACAGACAACGCCATGGTTTAAAATAAAAAGACATTCAGACAAATTAGAGTAAAGAAGACACAACATAGAAAACTATAGACTAAGCAACACGAACCCCACTAAAAAGTTGTGGTGATCTCAAGTGCTCCGGAAGAGTAAGCAGATCCTGCTCCACATGTGGCACCCGTCGTGTTGCTTATGTTATTACAAATCCGGTAAATAGACTAATTCAGTAGGTCACATTCGTGAAAAGGGAAGGGTATTGTAGTTACGACATAAGGAACATATCCGATATCATGTGTGAAACGGTTATTCCATAACGGTCTACCAACTCGTGATGGCGTCCGTAAAATTTACGAAAGGATGATTTCAACTTTCCCCCTTTGGAACTCTTGGTTTAATAACTTCATGGTGAGTAGCAATCCCCTAGCAAGGAAATCATGATAGGAAATACAAGCCCGGGAATATCGTATCAATTGGGAGATATATACTCCGTATGCAGGCGCTGCTGGAATGTTGCTACATAGAAATGGAAAGTTCAAAATTGAGAAGCTGAAATCATCTCTTTTGTCGTAAAGTTTTGTTTTCAACCGACCCTCATTGTCAATTTCTAGATGTAAGTCAAGATATGAGGCAGACGTAACTGTATCTGTAGTATCTTTTATCTCTAGTTCGATGGGATAGATTCGTTCAACATAGTCACCAAATTTTGTATTATTTGGTGAGAGAACATCATCTATATAGCGGAACGTAAAGGTAAAGGATATTGCTAACTTCTTATCTTTCTTCCTAAGAAGTTCCTGTATGAAGTTAGCCTCATAACAATAAAGAAACAAGTCGGCAAGAAGAGGGGCACAATTGGTTCCCATTGGAATTCCGACAGTCTGTTGAAAAACACGTCCTCCAAACGTAACAAATATGTTGTCAATCAAGAAATCAAGCATCTTTTTCAGAGAGTTTTTTGTTTGAATCAGAGTGAGGGAATACAAGCCCGGGAATATCGTATCAATTGGGATATATATACTCCGTATGCAGGCGCTGCTGCTGGAATGTTGCTACATAGAAATGTTGATATATCCTAGAATGTACAAAATAGTGAAGTACTGGTTAAAATTATTATCCACAAGCAACTGTATTCTTCAAAACTGTTAAAGGGAACAAATACGTTCAATCTTCCAGGTGTAATTGAGAACAGTATTGAATTGAATTGTTTGTAGGATTTGTTTTTCTTTAAAGAAAATATATGTCTTTGTCGTATCCCTATGTGGATATTTAAAGCTTGACTTATGATAGAATCAAATAGGTCGATAAAATATTCCAAGTAGCCACATTTGAATTCCGGCACTACATCATCACTGAAAATAGAATAACTCGGTATAACCATATGATCGGGTTGTTAACACTGCCAACTATCGATAGGACCATAACCCATTTTTCGACATGATTCGTACATGTAGGCGTGAATTTTATAACAGGTATGAAATTTTATTGATATTCAGCCTTTAACATTAAACCTGGCATGAAATATAATTGTGAATTATGGTTCAGGTTTGCTTGACATACATTGTGACTTGTTATCGTAATAATAAATCGTGCCTTTATGTGTCATTTAATCAACATATCGATTTTCTTGTATTAATACAAGTTGCTTGTTATTAATTTACACAATTTATGAAAAATATACAGGCATACGTTTGTCGTGTTGAATGGTACTCTGTTTGAAAAATATTAGGCCATTACTTACCAAGAAATCTTCCTTTCTTCATAAAAATGTAAACATTCGTCTGAGATTTCCCACAATGCAACTCGTTCATAATTGACAATATCGCTATTTGATATTAAGAAACTTTTTTATCGATTCACTTCCTCCATAGACTGTGCAACATTTGAAACAATGTCACAATTACAGATTGTTCTTTTTTTTAAATGATAAGGTTCGATAGAATCGACCTAACAAAAAAAAAAATGAAAATATTGAATCGGCTTTGAATCAATTAAATTTTGTAATGTAAATTACAAATAAATTACCAATTTGACTTTATAAAACTATACATGTATTATGTATATTCATGTTGCTTAACATCCATTTTTAATACCAACAAAACATACAGATCTATTAAGCAATAGAACTATCCCATACATAAGTTCTCTATATCAATGTTATCAAAATACAACTATTTTGTAGGATGCGTTTAAGGATTCAATACACAGCATTTATTCAGTTACTTAAACCAACACTACCTTATATGCATGATGCATCATCCAAGGAGAATAAATCAGTTCAGATTGGTGTGCTTCTTTATGGTCAGCACAGAAAAATTCCCGTTTCTTTATCAACTGCATATATGATTTAGTATCTGTATGATAATGCCCTTTGCTGCATTTAAAATGAATCTCAAAATCAAGGGTCAACTGATATCTCTTTGTTATGTCTTTAACTTTTGTAATCAGTTCTTGGCAGAGAATACTACAAGTGCTTCCGAATTCTGGCGTTTCTGTAGAAAACGACAACAGCTGAATAGCAATTGTGTTGCTTGACATTGCAAGAAAAACCTTTTCACATTCAGACCTATCTGTATCAAAAACACAAATTCCCCGGTATAATGCAGGAGGAGATTCGTTAACGTCCCTTTTGTATTTTTGTATCAACCACGCAGATAGATGATTAAAGAAGGCAGGGGGGAGAAATTCGAATTTCAGACAGAGCCAAGAAGTCCTATTGCAGTTTGGTCTTTCAACCCCAATGGCAGCGCAGACTTTGTCGAATGAAAGAGATGGCATTTTGCTTGGCATTATGTAGTAAGATGTTTCCTCAATTTTGATCAATATGTCAAACTTTACCATTACTTTCAGTAAATCTTCTTTTTGATTGAAAAACTGCCTTTTAGTTTCACTTTGAAAGAGTCGCGATATCAAATAATCACTCGCTTTCCCTGATCGCGTCAAAATTGACCAATCATCTAGGTGCTGCAGTGTGGCATCAATTTTATCTGACACTAAACATCGAAATGCATCTACCAACCATTTAGGATTTAAAATGATTAAATCCTGTATATCGTCAAAAAAAATAATGTTTCCTTCCTTATGCTGAAACCGAAGAAATGTTAATACTATATTGATATCCACTATGTTAATTTCACGATGTTTAGCCATCTTAACAATGCCAGATAAGTTAGTGAAGTTCATGCCATTTTTCTTATTAATGTCAATTAAATGTTCTAACAGAATCCAAACTACAGGCATGGGTTCGCCCCAATTATTCATTAACTCGACAGCTCCAAAAATATCTTGTCGTAATTGTTCAAATTGATTATCAGATTTGTCCATATTTGACACAAAATGAATATTTCGTAAGTGGTGATATTTTCCCTGTCGTTCTAAAACGTCGTGAAGTTTATTTTGAAGTTCCTTTTCTCTTTTTTTCTCCAAAAGTTCCTTAAAACATAACAAATATGTCAACAAAACACAACATAATTTGTATTGTTACCAGTTTCATTGTTATGTCTAGTAAAAATTGACTGGTCAAACTGCATAACACAAATGACCTTTTAACATTAAGTCCTAGTAAACTAACTACTAGTAGACAACCAAGTAATCATGTGCCATTTTGAAATACATGTTATTCTAATATTCAATCAAATAATTCTTCTAATCAAAATATTTGGTGATAGAAAACGTATTTATAATGAGTTAAGTAAACCCACAGCCGATGATGCAATAGTTTGTCTGTGCCTCAAACATCTAATCATACGTTATATTAGCCTAGCTATCAGGTTTTACTCTAATATTAACAAAACTTCACTTATTGTTCCTCCTCTCTCTTCCCTAAGTCAGGCATTTGCTTTACTTAACAGTCCTGCTTATATAACCGATCAGTGACATGGTGTTTTAAAAAAAACTGAAGTGTCCATCAACTTGAAAACTCCAGGAATCGTTCGATTGATATAATATGACAGTACGTCTTTCATTTCATGATTGTACTATATAAACCTTTGGAACTTTCTGAATATTATAGATAATAAAAAATACGTATGTTCACCGATTTAGTTCCAGCTTAAAGTAAACAAAAACATAGAGTACATTCTTCAATGTTTACATACTTATTAAATGTAATTTCGGAATTAAATTAATTTATTTGTTTCAAAGATAAAGGCCAAATTTTTTAGAAATTTTCGTCCTCAATGCTCAACTCCGTACTTTATTTGTTTTGTTCTTTTTTAACTTTTTGGGATTTGAACGTCACTGATGAGTCTTTTGTAGACGAAACGCGCGTCTGGCGAATATTCAAAATTTAATCATGGTATACATAATGACTTTTTTTTAAAACCACTGGGTCTATGCCACTGCTGGTAGAGTTTTAATTCCCCAAGGGTATCACCAGCCCAGTAGTCAGCACTTCTGTGCTGACATGAATTATCATTGATATGGTCATATTTATAAATTAACTGTTAACAAATCTTTTGAGTTTTTAAAATACTCAGGCTTTTCTACCTCAGGAATATATTACCTTAGTTATATTTGGCAAAACTATTAGGAGTTTTGGTACTCAATGCTCAACTTCGTACTTTATTTGGCCTTTTTAACTTTTTGGGATTTGAGCGTCACTGATGAGTCTTTTTTAGACGAAACGCGCATTTGGCGTAAATAAAAAATTTAATTGTGGTATCTATGATGAGTTTATTAACAACCACTGGGTCGATGCTTTTGCTGGTTGAGTTTTAATTTCCCGAGGGTTTTAGCAGCCCAGTAGTTAGCACTTCTGTGCTGACATGAAATATCATTGATATGGTCATATTTATAAATAAACGGTTTACAAAACTTTTGAATTTTTAAAATACTAAGGCTTTTCTACCTCAGGAATAGAATACCTTAGCTGCATTTGGCAAAACTTTTAGGAATGTTGGTCCTCAATGTTCAACTTCGTACTTTATTTGGCCTTTTTAACTTTTTGGGATTTGAGCGTCACCGATGAGTCTTTTGTAGACGAAACGCGCGTCTGGCGTAAATACGAAGTTTAAATCTGGTATCTATGATGAGTTTATTTACAACCACTGGGTTGATGCAATTGCTGGTGGAGTGTAACTAATACGTTATTTTGGTCTCTAGTGGATACATGCCTCGTTAGCAATCATATCATATATTCAAATTCTATATCGTACTATAATGAAAAAAATTACGCATTGTTCGTTTACAAATAAATAATCACTATTGGTATACATCCTAGTTAACTAATGCCATTGTCGAATTAAAGAAACCATTGCAGCTATAAAAAACCTAAAATAAAATGCAAGCGATCGATCTATTCCTTATCATAATACTTATGATTTTTGTCATTGTTTAAATCATTTTCTATAAAATAGTTACCTCTTTATATTTATCTTTACAAGTAAAGACAACGATAATTGGAGGGTCCAACGAAAAGTCCTTTTGTATGTTTGTAGTTTCGCCGACATGGCAATGTATCGAATCAAACCAAAAATCAACATACTCTAAAACAAAGTTATATGTTGATGTTAAATCAGCTTTTTATTCTTTAAAGACTTATATTGAGAGGTAAACTCAACAACATATTTTAAAGTATTACAAAATATATGACAACTAATGTTTAGAAGTTTGTACACAATTTCAAGGTTGACACGCTGGAGTATTTTAGAATATAATCTATTTAGCAATACACAATAATTTATTTGTGTTTACAGTAGATACACAGCTTGTACATGTAATGCTGCCACAATAAGACGCTCAAGTATTGTACCTTTTTGTTAAAACAAGGTACAGGAAAAGAAAAAAAAGGTTTAGATTTATAAATGTGTTGCGTCAGAAGCTTTTGTTATTCATCAAGTATGCTCATAAACAAACAAAATATAAAGAAGTATAATAAAGATTTCAGGTGGGGTTAAGTATCTTGTTAATTTTATCAATTTAACAAGTGAAAACTGAAGTGCAACAAGTTGTAGCGGTATTACTATGCATCATCCAATAACCAATGAACATACCAATCGTTTATCAGCATTTGTTTTATGACATAATAATAAGCAACCAAAAAAAATCTAAACAGTCTACAAAACAATGTGTTATACTCAATTTGAGGTATACTTGTTCAACATTTACAATAAATCTCGACTAATTTGTGTCCGTAGGAATTTTTGTGCGACCGAAAAATAAAGTAACGGTTTTCATGATACAGATTTTAATTTTTAAGTATTAAAAGAGTATACTTGTAATTGCTATTTTTCATCTACTTGCAATGTTGTATGTTTTGTTCTGTTGTTTGTCTTTTATTCGTTTTTTTTTTTGCCAGGACGTTTTGAGATTATTTTCAACTGATGAGTTTAAATATTCATTTGGTATACTTTACCTGTCTTTTACTCTATATGTTGTTTCCCTGGTTTTATAGAATGTTGATGTTAAAAGCATGACGGGTGCTGAATATATAACTGAAGTGTTTACCATGTTGTTTCATCCGGTATTTCGTTGTTCGAAAATCATGTAATGGTTTAAGGTTTTGTGTATTTTAATTTTGATTTTCAAATTAAATTTGAACAATGAAGGTCGATATCAGCTGTTGCTTCTGATTTAAAAACACAATACTGTTTATTTGTTGTGAGCTCTTTTTTTTTTATTCTTTTGACCAACATTATTCGCTAATATATATTAAGTTTCTTTTTTTTAAACCTTTTGCCTTAATTTTTTTTATTTATGTTGACTATATGTATACTTGAATAATGCTCGATTACCTCCAATATCGGGAAAATCAGCAAAACATTGCTTAACGCCTTGCTTGCAAATATCCTCCTCCATATTTGCAACCACGAGGTATACTGCGTTTTTTGTCAGAAATGCCTGATGTGTAGCATAGAATTCCCTTTGTCCCGCAAAGTCCCATAATCCACAGAGTGCATGTAAGTTGGCAGGATCATTTGAGTTTGGCGTCTCGGAAAATACATTAGACATCAAATCATCTGGCATTATCAAGGATGATGGTTTTTTCTCATGTTCATTTTCATTAAAATGATTCTCTCTGTTTGCTAACCTTGAATTGACTTTAGTGTCAAAATCCATTTGATCAACAGTGTCTAATGATACCTTAATACCGTTGGAACTGGTGGACACATTATCAATAGGATTTACATTTCTTCCGTTTGTCACATATTCAGACGGGTTGTCAGCCATAAGGATGCTAGATTTTAAATCAGAGTCATTGCCTCTACTTAAATCAGAATGATATAAATCATCGTCGTCAGTAATTTTAGTGTCTGCAGACTGTTTATGAGTTTCTGCTCTCTTTATACGGTCTGCCTTGTTATCTGAAATATCTACAATACGAAAATCCAATTATTTCAAAAGTATTAATTTCTTGTTCAATTTAAAAGTCATCGATACTGGTTACACTTTCTTTCAAAATAAAATAAATAGGGTTTACAAATCCATAGAATACATTCAGAATATTGCTTCCACTGTATTGTAAAAGCGAATTATGTAACTCGTTTGTTTACACTTATACATAATAAGAGTCATTCCACGTCTGCTTGTTGTGATGTTGTATTTTGCGGCATATAAGGATTTTCTTCTCTTAGTGCGATATCATCATTCTACTGAAGTTGATACTGAAATATGATAATCCTTGAATAATAATTTTATTAGAGAGACATGCATTTTCTTCATGTTTAGTGCTAGAAATAATTCTCCGACTTGGAAGTTGGAACAGTGTCTTATCCTTTTATTATAGTATTTGTTACATCGAAATTAATAATGGTGTGAACGGTATATTTTCGATATGAAATATATTAAATATTGAATACTCAACAATACAAATGAACACTGTGAAAACATTCCAATAAAATGCACATATATAATAACATATGCATTTGATACACATCATTTTGTAGAAATTATAGAAAGTCCTATTGTTTTCAAATGAATAAAGCGTAAACAGCGTTATTGGATACTGTTTGTTTATTCGAAATTGACAATTAAAATGTGTTTGTGATGTTACGCTGCAAAACAGGACTGGTATATTTTGAAGTTTCCTCATCAACCTAAAATATCTTTAGAAAAACTTTTAACTTTTATAGTCGATATAGTACATTCACAATACTGACGATACAACTCTACATATAAAAATGTCTCTTGTAGCTTTCAATTACTGTAAACCTACTTATTTTCGAGGATACTTTATCAAACCTAGGAATTACTTCTGATAACTTATACAAAATCTCTGGTGACAATGTTTCTTTACTTGGGAATAACAAGTGCACACACTCAAAACAGATGGAATTGCGTACAAGGATGGTTGATTTATATAATATCAAATAACTTAACCCAACTAAATTTAACTTAACTTAACTGAACTTACATTTCAAGTAAAAAAACAACATGATGATTTAATAACTTAAATTTCAATTTACAAAAACACCAGATGACTTTTTTTTTTTTTGCATTTCCTCATCCGTTTAACGTCTTCTTTTTTTAAACATAGGTAGGAATTGTAAAATAAATGTTGACTTTGTGACTCTAAAGTGTTTTTATGGTTAAGTTGCTGTTCAGTAAAGCACTGTTCCGGATAACACATAGGATTTAACACTTGCTTAAGTACAAAAATAAAGATATTTCTAAGTCTTTTTCCGTTTCAATTGACATTTTCGAGACATAATTGACATTATTTTAAATACTAACATTAATGTCAAATGTTTCTGATAAAACCGTGTTTCAAAAACATTTTTATGAACTTTAACATAATAAATTAACACGTTATTAATTTATTGTATTTAAAGCGCTTTTCTCTCGATTTAGATTCACCAGGAACGCTTAAAGCTGTGTCCAGTAAAGTTTATCAAATAAACTGTTTGTACCTTTTCGCTTAGACTGTCTCAATGTGAAATCACTTGACGTGACTAACAACTGTCAGAACTTACAAATACCTTTTTATGGTATGAATCAACGTTGATATTTATAAAACAATAGTGATTGTAATGAATATCTTTTAACGCACAGGATCTAATTAACATGCATTGTGTCAAAGTGCATTTTATATATTTGAAGGAACAATGCATTGGTTTTTGATTTCCATCATGATAATTAACCACTGAAATGTCAAGTAACATATGAAGTGAAAAATTAAGTCAGATTTGTTTCCAAGGTCAACGTGCTTCTTGCAATTCTTGATATTGCCCACGAAACTCTGCGATTCATTAAATCATTGAAAAATCCTGCTATCCGATTTGTTTTCCTCTTTTTTTATAACTATAATTTATTTGTTAATGCTGCGATTGATTGTATGTTTTTCTTTGCCTTGGAATCAGATTTTTTCCCTCTGAAAAGCATATATCCCGCTTTAAGTAGCAGGTTTTCAGCACATACACTACCTTTACATCCTAAAATTTTACTTATTTAATATGAACTGATTGTCAATCTGAACTTTTTACGCAAAGTCTGTTTTGAATCCTAAAACTTAAATTTATTTTCAAACTGGATTGTTTTGAACGGTAAAATGCATTTGGATAACTTGATTGTTAGTAGTATTTGTCACAAGATTATGCAATTGAACAACATTTCCAAAAAAATGTATCGTTTAACATTTATTTTTCAAACTAGTTCTCTCTAGAACTCAATTTAAACACAGCTTAATTTATTCCAATGATGTTTGCTATGGTAAATAACAAAATACACTGTTAATTCAGTATTTACATAGAAGAAAAATAACAGGACAGTAAAGTTGCAAGGATCATTAACATTTTCATTAAAACAGGTATCAAAGGTTGAATATTTACATGTTCATTTAAATAAAAGAAATGTATGACACAGATGTTCAGGCTCGTTAGCCAAAACGTTTTTTAGGAACACCTTTGGAAGAAAACTTGGATTTTTTCGCAATAGGCTCGATTCAATTTATTTATTTTTGTATCACCTTGCAATATAAATTTAAAGGGGTAGTTATTCTAAATTAACTGTTGGTTGACAATCAATTAAGAGGTAATTTGGGTTATCTGATAGGTAGACTCATATATCAATAGCAAAATAGTATCCAAGCATGACCAAAATATGTCTGCACTACATAACCCTGAAATATAACATCGATTATGGTGACAGGTCATTATATTATAGTTAGAAATTATAGTCTTCCTCGACTTGGTAAATCAATGAAACTCATAGCATTTTTTTTATTGATGTCAATAACTTTTTCAATGAGAGATTTGTGGTGGTCGAGCTAACAAGATTTATCTGTTGAACTGTACCGTGTAATGACACATGTACCAGCTTGTATGTTTATGTTTAACTCAAACCCAAACGTTGGCATTGTTTTCCCCAACTTATTACAAATTATGCTGTGAATGTGTTCATATATGCAGATGATCTTTAGTCGTGAATCTTTATGTTGATCTTTGTTGCCCGGATATTGCAACATCATTTGTAGACTTACGAAGTAGTTTTTTTAACCACGTTAACAGCATTTTGTAATATAGTGCACACATAAACATGTTTTGGTGACACAAGGTAATATATGAAATTCCCCATTAGTTACCCACCTTTGCCGATTGTCCATTTACCATTTTCAATATCAATTTTGCATCGATTAATAGCGATGTCAACACCATCGGTACTTGACACACCAGCAGTACTATCCTTTAGTAATCTCCTCAATAAGGTAGTCTTTCCCACCTTGTCCTGACCTACAATCATTATTCTGGCAAAATACCGCTTTTCAGTTTTTGTACTTTGCATCAGTTGATTATATCTTTTCTTATCCGCATCTGTTAATCGTTTCAAAGCTTCTGGTAAATATCCATCTAGCAAAAATGAATTAACACTTTTTCTAACAAATTATTTGTCAAAATTGACAGGATGAGTTTGAATGAATGAATATATGCAGAATAATGAAAAAACACAGTGTCACTCTGATTAATACATTTGCTAAAGTCATTATCAAGATTTGTTGACAACATATACTTTGAAAATATTGGGGACGTGTTTGTTCACAAAGATCAAAATAGGAACCAACTTTCCTTCTTATCTTGTCGACTTGAGTCTTTATTCACAAGGCTCTCTTCATACCAAAACATGTCATGAAAATGAAAAAAAAAAGAAGCTAGTACTATCCGTTAACTTCACGTTCTGCTATATAGATATATCCTATCATTAAATTATTATAGTATTGAACGCCTTTTGTAAGGAGTTTATTGGTGTATACACTAGACAAATTCACTCACAAACAAATAAAAGTCTTTCGGACATTGAGAGTTTCAGAGAAGTGAGCTTTAATTTAGCACAAGTTACACATACCGACGGATTTTTTTTTTTTGCTTTTGATAGCAGTACCGAATATCATCTGTACAATGGGTTAAACGGTAGATATACTAAATGGTATCGTATACCTCATATTATCTTCTTAATACAATAGTAGCACGATTTCAGTCTGAAACGGTTATTTTGGTATGATCATATCTTAATCGACTGGATTTATCGGTAGAGAAAAACGTCAAGACTTTTAAAAACTTTTCAGACGCCGTTCCGATCGATAGTCCCATCAAGTAAATCAGTCCGTTAAGGCATGTCAAGATAAACAAGACTGCTAGCAAGCTGTTTAAATCCGTTACGACCTCTAATGACTGATTCACTCGAAATCAGACCATGGATACAAAATTACGTCAAGATGTTGTCAGACCATGTTCAGTCGTGTTCAGATTTTAATAATTTGGACACAAAACGGGTGAAACTTTCCAAGTGTGTATCAGGGGTTGCTCCCCTTTAAGAATAAAATAAAAATAAGAAAGAAGACGGTTTATGTTACTTTGTCTACTTAATTAAATAAAAAAATGAACAATTTTAATTCTTACTTTTTCCTAAGTAATTATTTAACATTTTTTATATTAAATAAATTATTGTTGTTTTTTATTTAATTATTTTGCGATCGTATTTGACTTGTGCGTTCGACTTTCCTTAATTTAAAAAATAGAGTTTATATATTATTGGAGATGATGACTTATGAATTCATGAATTCAAATTTATATTTGAAATAGTTTTGATAAATTATCATGATTATGCGGAAGTGAAAATGTTGCGTCGGTGTATCTGAAGTAAATTTAAAGAATATGACTAAGTTACATATATACTATACAACATAATAAAACTGGTTTAATATGAATTACTATCTATTAGGGACATTTCCGATAATAATAAACCAAATATGTCAAGTTTATTTAAAAACGGAAAACAATTCTTCACCCGTAAACGATTTAACGTTACTGTACCCTCTTTATTTTTTGTTGCATTTTTGTCGGCAGAACGGGTCGACAACCTATATTTTACACAAAATCGTAAAAGGGAAACTTACAGTACAATGTAAGATGAGCAGAATATTGCAATCGGTGAGTAGAAATGAACAATATTTTAAAACATGTCTATCAGAATAATCATTGATCCAAGATTTTGAAGGAAAATGAGCACATTTGTCATGTGTGACATTTGTTCCTACAGGTATGAATCAACGTTCTATATCATCGCACTCGTGCATAGTGGCATGTTCGAAGGCAAAGTTAGGATTTAGGCTTTTAAAAAGTTTATGCATCGTTGAAATTCATGTGTGACACCATTCCCCTCCCCTTTATCATGTTTATGAAATTATGTCATTTAATCCCTTCCCAGGAGACATTTGACGTTGTATAAACATCAGTTTGACGTCAGACCCTAACGTCGCGACAACGTTAGATTTTGGTTGTATATGAAATTTTTTAGACGTCAAAAACTGACGTCTACCCAACGTCTTGACATACACGTCCGTTCAACGTCTGTACAACGTGGTTACAATATCAGTACAACGTCGGCATAACATCCGACCAACCAACAGGATGAACCTGAATAAAGATGTTCAACGTCTGTACAACGTCCTAACAACCACATCAAACCTCTTTAAATATCCTCTAATGTCTGTACAACGTCTTAACAACGTCCTTACAACCAACAGTAACCCTCTTTAAATATCCTCAGTTGTCTGTACAACGTCTAATCAACTTCTTAACAACCAACATTAAACCTCTTTAAATATCTGCAGATGTCTTCAGAGCTGATTAAAGACGAAAGTAAATCCTTATCAACGTTCTTAAATTGGACAACTTTAGGTAATAAAACAATAAATAAAGATAACGTCCTGAAAAAGTGCTTCAACATCTTCTTTTAACTTGGTGTGCTGAGCCTGAAGTGGACATACATGTATAAGGTTTTGTTTAGTAGGAGAAACAAACAAATATCAATTAGCTAGGTTCTAAAAAAAGAGAACTATAAGATTGATCACTTGTAATTGTGTTGAAACAAAACAATAAATAATTGAAAGAATCTACATATTTTAATGTGGTATTTTTAAAAACATCAATGTCAATTTTCTGCTCCATTTCTTTTGATGTCTGTTGCTCCATCGGTTGATGATGCAGCTTTTGTCTTCCGACCACTCCTCCTAATCTGTCCGGTGGATACTTCAGGTAAGCTACTGTTACCTGTATGTCATGTTCTGTTTCTAAAATAAAAAATATATAATTTTATATGTGAAAACCAAACAGTTTAGAGGCAAAGAGTTAAACCCTAGGTATATTTAAAATATTCTTTTTATTTGTTTAAAAAAAGCATTGATCATACATTGCAAACACAGATCAGTGATGGAAAATATGAAGTAATTTGTTTTCAAATTATCTTGAAAGGAGTAGGTCCGGTAAGGGCCGATTTCGGCCTCAAAATTCAAGTTCATCTGATGAAAGATTTTGGACACTTTTTAAACACTTAAGTGTCTACTTCAGTCGATTCAATCAGTTCATGTGAAAGATTTGAACTGATTAAGTCATTAAAGGCGCTCAAATTCAAGCTTAAATATGAAAAATTTATCAAATATGCCATAATATGTCACTTTTCAGATGGTTTTTGTCAAAAACGAAAGTAGCCGCATCCGTGTTCATTCTCAACCTTTATATATATTATGTATTATCATCAAATACAACTTACATTTAAATACTAAGAATGAACACAAATGCGGCCACTTCCATTCCATACGGAAACCGTCCAAAATTAATCAAAATGCTAAAATTTCGAAGATTTCAGTAATGTAGCATGACTTAATGATGCTAGTACCCGATACATGTGCATTGTATTGTCAAAAACAGCCTATTTTTATGTAACAGAAGTATTCCTCTTTCCAATAAATAGCTAAAAATTTACATTTAAACAATTTTGTAAAACTGCTATATTTTGGGGCCAAAAAGGGGTCTTACTGGGTCTACTCCTTTCACCGAGATCTTGACAGTCATTCACTCAACTAGTGACTCAATTAGAGAAACAATAATTAATGCACCGCAAGCACCGAGAATTTTACAGTCACACATCTTGGGGAAACAATAATTCACTGCAAGCACTAGATCTTGACAGCTATTCATCTTTAGAAACAATAATCCCCCCCCCCCCCCCCCCCCCCCAAATCATGGATATCTTGCCAGTCACTCATCTTGGGAAACAATAATGCATCAGAAGCACCGAGAACTTGTCACTCATCCTGTGAAACAGTAACGATCCACAAACACCAAGATCTTTGCAGTCACTCATCTTGGGAAACAATAATTTATGCACCGCAAGTACCAAGATCTTTACAGTCACCTAAATGCACCACAAGCACCGACATCCTGACAAACACTCATATTGTAAAATAAAACACCAATAAACAAGAATGTGTCCATATAGTCCAGTCAATCTAACATAAATTTGACCCTAACCTTAAAGTAATTGCAAAAGAAGATTTTTAAGTTTTAATCTTTAGCATTATACCCCAAATATACACAGAAAAAAAGTACCATAAAATCTTACAAAAGGAAGACTAAACAAAATCTGATTTAAAATTCCTATGGAGATTTGCATTGAAAAGGGAGATAACTCTGCAAAAAAAGGCACAAATATCAATAAAAATTGATACAAAGTTATAACTTTACCGCTTCTATTCAACATAATGTATTGATTCTTGATATTTTAGCCGTCTTTAGAGTATAACAAACAACTCTAAAGGTGTTTTCATATCTTTTATCAAGCTACCATCTGGATTTCATAATTCATTAGTTGACCATTTATTGAATTTTTCAACATGTCAAGGTAAAGAATCTCAAATTTGATAAAAATAATTAAGCATATATTCTTCTTTTTGTTGTTTAAATTTTCTTTAAACAAGGTAGATGCTGAACAACTATAATATACAGATATAAACAATACCAATTTAACATTATTTTTTCAAAATGGTCACAAAGCCACAAATTTGCAATTTCTTTAATGAAAAATGCACAAAAAAAAATATACCCATAACACTTGGGTTTTGCACATTTCATGAGCAGAAGATTATATAATATAGTCAAATATAAACTTATAACCCCATCAAAGTATCATCCTTTACATAGATTTTAATAAAAAATCAACCAAAAACTGACAAAAGAAGACTCATTTTTGCGGAGTTATCTCCCCTTCCAATGTTAATTTCCATAGAAAATTTAAAATGCTGATTTTGAGTTTTCCTCAAGTTAGATTTTATGGGACTTTTTTCTGTGTATATTTAGGGCTTAATGCTATAGATTAGAACTAAAACATTTTCTGTTGCAATTAGTTTAAGGTTAAAACTTAGTTTGACTGGACTAATAGTACACGGATGCCGCAATCCCACTATCCTTTTCTATGTTCGGTGGACCGTTAAATTGGGGTCAAAACATTATTTGGCATTGAAATTAGAAAGATCATATCATAGGGAACATGTGTACTAAGTTTCAAGTTGATC